AAGGTGGGTTGGATGCATGGGTGGGAAGAGATCAACCAAAGAACCTGTATGCATATATGCATGGCCCATGGATATAGACAATAGGGTGGTGAGGCCTGGGGTGAGGAGCAGAGATGGGCTAGAAGAAGTCAATGGGGGGCAGGGGGAAGGGACATATGTAATACTTTCAACAATGAAGATGTAAAAAATAATTTAAAAATAGAAATCAGAATGGCTTTCTGGCCAGTGATGCTCAGTGATTAGAATGTCAGCCCATGGACCTAAGCGTTATAGGTTCAACTCCTGGTTAAGGGCATGTACCTGGGCTGCAGATTTGATCCCTGGCCTTGGTCAGTGTGCATGCAGGGGGCAACCAATCACTGTGTGTTTCTCTCACATCGATGTGTTGTGTTTGGTTTTTTTCTCTCTCTCTCCTTCTCCATCCCTACCACCCTTTCTGAAAATCAATGGGAAAACTATCATCAGGTGGGGATTAACCAAAAAAATCAGAATGTCTCTAGACATTTCAAATGTACCAATGAAAGCTAGAAGACAACAGAGAGATGCCTTCAACCTCTAAAGAAAATTCTATATCTAGCCAACCGTCAATCAAATGTGAATGTATAATGAAGACATTTTCAGATATACAAGCTCTCAAAAATTTTACCTCCTTAAGTTTCTTGATAATGTGTTTTATCAAATGAAAAATAAAAATAAGCATATATATATATATATATATATATATATATATATATATACACACACACACACACACACACACACACACACACACACATACACACACCCTGCGGGAGGGGTCCCTCAGCCAGGCCTGTGCTCTCTCCCAGTCCAGGACCCCTTGGGGATGTCCGTCTGCTGGCTCAGGCCTGCTCCCCTAGCAGCCCTGAACACCAATCAGAAGCAGGGAGCAGAGGCATCTCGATTAAGTGTCTGAAGCCTGTCTGGAGGAGGAGTGCTCTGAGATGCTCAGAGTGATCACCTACTACCAGGACTGAGTGTTCACAGCTTCTTATGTTCTACTCACCAGCACTGAGCAGGAGAAGGGCCAAGGCACCTTGAGGAAAGGGGACATAAAAGAGTAGATGACCTCCTGAAAGAGGAAGGTTTAGAGGAATGGTATTCCTCAGAATCCTACTTAACCCACTAAAACTACTCTCAAAGCTCTGGGTTCAGGACAAGAATGGGCACAGAGAGGGACATTGTCAGCCCACTCCTGAGTATCATGAAAGGGACCTAAGTTTAATTTATGTTCTTATCTTGAGCTCCCCAGGAAGAAAACAAGAAAGTGGCCTGGATAAGGCACGTGGTCCTTTAATTCTCTCTCACATTAGTATTTTTATTTACATTATGTTGGGTGGGAAGTATATGGAATGTTGTCTTTGATATTTAGTAATGGAAGAAAAATCAAATAACTCAGAAGGAAATAAACCAGCCAGCCAGTGGTATTTAAACACACACACACACACACACACACACACACACACCAAGTTAGAACAAATAATGAAAAACATGTCACAGGAGAACATTTTCTTTTTTATATATAAAATATATTTTATTGATTTTTTACAGAGAGGAAGAGAGAGGGATAGAGAGTTAGAAACATCAATGAGAGAGAATCATCAATCAGCTGCCTCTTGCACATCCCCTGCTGGGGATGTGCCCGCAACCAAGATACATGCCCTTGACCAGAATCGAACCTGGAACCTTTCAGTCTGCAGGCTGCGGCTCTATCTACTGAGCCAAACCGGTTTCAGCAACATTTTCATATCAATGAAGAAACCAGAAGTCCACATGAATAGCCCAAGGCTGAGGCAGATTACAATGGGAGATTTCACCCCACTTATGATAAGCAGGGCAAACTTGGACTAGAGGAAGGAAACCTCAAAAGACTGGAATCCTGATAGGCTATGGGGAACAGTAGAGGGTACAGAGTCATCCACACCCCACAGAAACTTCCTGGAAGGGCTGAGATTTCAGAGAAGCTATAGGAAGCCTAGCATAGCTTGCCAAAAGGAGGTAGAAAGATTGTTGTTGCCCAGGAAGGTATGAGACAGCTGAGAGAGGAGGGTGACAGGTCCTGACAGGTATGCAATCTGCATTTAAGACAGAGCCACTTTAGGATAGCATGTTGTTCTGTATGGGTCGAGACCCATTTGCAAACCACCACAAAAAATGCCTGGAAAGACCGCATTTCCATGTAACTGGCTTCTGCTCTATTCTGTATTTTATTTATAATGCATAAAATATTATCTTGAAAAGAATCTTATCTAATAAAGAGGAAATATGAAAATCGGCCGTCATGTCATTACAAAGATGGCGGCGTCCACAGCGGAGACTGAGTTCCCGTGATGAGCCTTAACGAGCAATCAGCAGGGACCTGAGGCTGCACCCCTCACCCAGAGGGGCTTGACAGGGGACCTCAGGCCGTGCCCCCTGCCCCAGCACTGGGCCAGGGGACATGAGGCTGCTCCCCCCACCCAGTGGGGCTTGACGGAGGATCTCAGACCACATCCACCACCCAACAGGGCTTGATGGGGCAATGTTAGGCCATGTCCCCCACTGGGCAGGACTTGATGGTGACCTCAAGGCACACTCCCACCTAGTTTTGTCTGTTTCACCTTTAAAACTAGAAAAGCCAAAAGCAAAAGTGGGGCTCTACTGGGAACCTCAGACCTCGCCCCTACCCTGGTGCCAGGCTGGGGGGCCTGAGGGTGCGCTGGGGAACCTGAGGCTATGCCCCCCACCAGGTGGGGTTTGGCAGAGGACCTGAGGCAGCTCCCCCTGCTTTGCACCAGGCTGGGGACCTGAGGTTGCACCCCCCACCTGGCACCAGGCCAAAGAACTTGAGGCCGTGGCCCCCCACCTGGCGGGGCTTAATTGGGGTGGGGCAGGCCAGATCTAGATCTTGTCCAATGTGAGTAGGGCCCGCCAGGTCTGGGTCTTTCACGATTTCGAGGAATGTGCAGGTGGTGGGCGGGACTTGACTCTGGGTCCTGCAGGGAACCCCAGACTCAGATAGGAGTAATACTTTCATATACATTTTCCTAAGTTTCTTTCATCTCTGACACTACTAGTATAGGGAAAGGGCAAGTAGCAATATTATAATAAAATATCTCCTCTAATTAATTCTCTTTTAATGTGCATGAATTTCATACACCAGGCCACTAGTAAATAAATAAATAACTTCTAAAAAAAAGAAAATATAAAATTTGTCTCAGCAAGTGAGTAGATGGCACAAAAGGCTAAGAACTGGTGACCTAGGGATAGGGTATCAGAGAATATATTGATAGGCTGTGAAGGAAAAGACACACAGTAAAATGTGCCTCACTCACTGGAAGACATTGGATGTTCTTTGTATGGGGACTGTCTAGAATCTGACTCCAACCTCCCTTTTGATATATTTTATTGATTTCACAGAGAGGAAGGGAGAGGGATAGAGAGCTAGAAACATCGATGAGAGAGATACATCGACCAGCTGCCTCCTGCACACCCCCTACCGGGGATGTGCATGCAGTCCATGTACATGCCCTTGACCGGAATCAAACCTAGGACCTTTCAGTCCTCAGACTGATGCTCTATCCACTGAGCCAGGGTTTTTTTAAAATATATTACCAACCTCCCTTTTGAATATATCACCCCATCTGCCATACCCTCCCTCTCCTTCCTGAATTCCATTCCCACCAAATGGCTACAATGACTCTCAGATAGATCTACTGCCATCCCTTTTGGTCCCTGCTCATTTATTGATTGATCTATTTTTGTGTTCATTTGTTGTTTTCTTTCTGCCAGGAACTGAGCTTAGTACTAGGGACAGAGAAATGAACAGAACACACCTCCCTGTTCTTACAAAATTTCTGCCTGCTGCCAACAGAGAGTCTATCCCTGTTGGGTATTTCCCTCAACCACAGTCTCTCAGAAAGCCTTTCCCAAAGCCATCCCACACCTGGCTTCCTCCTCTGATAACACTCTTGTTGTCACCATCCTTAGCAGCAATTGTGTAAGTTTTGCAGGAATGTCTGGGTCACAGTTGACTATTAGACTTTTCAGACTCTTGTAATTAGATTATGAAAACTTGTGTTTTATTTTTTGTTTTTAGCTTTAAATCATCAGGCACTATTCTTCTTCTTCTTCATCATCTGTTTCATCTTTAAAACTAGAAAAGCCAAAAGATCCTCTCTGCACTATCATAGATATCACCTGATTTTCAGACTGTTTTCAGTCAATACTTTATGCTTTTCAATTAATGACATTTTTTAAAAATATATTTTTTTATTGATTTTTTACAGAGAGGAAGGGAGAGAGATAGAGAGTTAGAAACATGGATGAGAGAAAAACATCCTATCAGCCCTTCCTGCATGGGGATGTGCCCTTGACAGGAATCGAACCCAGGACCCTTCAGTCCGCAGGCCGACGCTCTATCCACTGAGCCAAACCGGTTTCGGCTAATTACATTTTTTTTTTTTAAGCTTCTCAGCCCTATGGACTCGATCATCACATTGTCTTTGAATTTCTCAAGCTGTTTGGCATCGAATATTTTGCCTTCACTGAGCATTTTATTCCAGTTGACATAAGAGGTGACTCAGTTGGCTGTTTGACCCTCCGCTCCTTTCATAGCCTGCAAGACTGTCCCTTGAACCCCGGTTTGGTCCCATAACGAAGCCTGGTTCCCCTTCCTCCATTTCCCTGAGTGACTGTTGCTTAAAAAGAATCCTTTTTCGGTTTTAGTAGTAGTCACATCATTAGTTACTGAAACAGATTCCTATTCTGACTTTAAGCAAAGAAAATACATTTATTTACCAGTTGGTTCTTAGAATCAATGTAGAAACTAAGAATTAGGCAGGAGAAGCACAAACCAAATAACACAATGGGACTGGTCCTGTAATCACACGCTGCCGCCAAGAGGGCAACAGTCCGGACCCATATCAAAGTCCCAGTCCCAGTCCCAGATCACCGGGCTCAGCTCCACCTGGGCAGATAGTCTGTAGACTCCTAGGAAAACACACCCAGCCCGGCCTGTGCATCCTGCTTCCTCCCAGTCAGCTGAGGAGCCAGCCTGGCACTCTCATTGGCCTGAGCCTTTACCTCACCTGGGCAGGGCCCAAAGCCAAGCTGTTCCCACACTATATCTAGCTGTCTCTCCGAGGAGTCTGCACCAGGACCTGGGACGTCCAGTGCCTTCCACTCAGACACGATGAGCACAATGGTACCCTTCCTGCTGTCGCTCCTGCTTGCTGTGGGTCCTGCAGTCTCCCAGGACACTCAGGACGGTGAGTTGGGAACCAAGGGCGGGGTATGGAGAAGAATGCAGGGGAGGGAAAGAGCGAGATAGATGGGCTGGGAGAGGGCCCCAGCTGAAGCCGGGGTTCCCAGTGTACAGTGGGAATGGGTGTTCGAGGCTCACACACTTCCAGGAGCCTTTAGGGAGCCTCTGGACTCATGCTAAGTAAGGCCTTAAATAATTAGAATCTAAAATTCTTAGTAAGAAAATGAGCAAAACTGAAACCCAGACAAGTGAAGTGGCCTGTCCTGGGTCAGACAGCCAAGACAGAGCAGGGGCCACACAGGTAGGACTTTTTGTTCCTCCCTCCTTCCAACGGCTGGAGGTATCTGTCTGACTCTGAAGGAGAAAGACAGCAACTCCAAAAAAGCACTTGGAAAGGCATAGTAACTGGAGGATGCTTCTGGAAGCAAGCCCATTCCTTCCCCCCACAGCTAGACACTGCCAGTGAGCCAGGAAGGCGGGTCACAGGGGAAGAAGCCAGCTGGAGGGTGGGCAGATAGAGTCCGTTTTAGGACAGAGTCCTAAGGCTTTCTTTGGCATACAAAATTTCATTGTGAAGAAATATAAGCTAAACTGTGAATGTTAGAATTTTTACATTTACAAACTGTCAGAATATGTGTTTTATAACTATTGATTATATTTACATTATTAATAACATCCTACACCAAAATCTAGTGTAGCTTTAGGGTTATCCAGAGAATGAACATCATGTATATGCACAGAAAGAGATCTACCATGGTGGGGGCTGAGAAGTCCAAAATCCGCAAAGCTGGTCAGCACCCTGGAGAGCCAGAGAACAGAGGATGCTGCAGTCTTGGGTCCAATCTGGAGGCAGAGTGGCTTCTTCCTCTGGAGACCTCAGTCTCTTCTCTTGTAGAATTCAATGATCAGAGGAGTCCCATCCACATTATGTGTGGTAATCTTTACTCGGCATCTACTGAGTAAAATGGCAACCACATTTAAAATTAGCAAGAATAACTAACAAATATTTCCCCCCTCACATTCTTTATCTCTTCTTTTCTTCTTTCCCCTTGTTACTTTATGCATTTGAATTTTTTTCATTCTTCGTCTCCTTTTACTCTAATTTTAGCAAGCTTTCCATATACCCACATGTGTTTTTTTTAATATGTTTTATTGATTTCTTACAAAGAGGAAGGGAGAGAAATAGAGAGTTAGAAACCTCAATGAGAGAGAAACATCAATCAGCTGCCTCCTGCACACCTCCCACTGGGGATGTGCCCACAACCAAGGTACATGACCTTAGCTGGGACCCTTTAGTGTGCAGGCCAACACCCTATACACTGAGCCAAACCAGTTAGGGCTGGATACTTTTTCTTATTTTGAAACTCTTTCAGCATGCCCACTGCTTTTCACATTTCCTATACCAAAAGCATCTTTTCAATGTTCTCTAAGTTTAAGTTTGTGAAAAGAACAGTTGAGGCCCAGTTTTGGTATCACTGAGCCTAGTTCACGTCCTGTATGTCCTACAACTGTCCCTTCTCTCCCATCCATTCTCCTTCCCCCCAACCCTGCCCCACTGGCACCTTTCACCTTCCTATTAGTCATATCTGTTTCTTTTCTTTTTTTATTTATTAAGATATTATATGTGTACATATCTTACCATTCATATATGTTTCTTTATAACTTCCTCCACCCTTCCTTACCTTATGCTTTTCCTTCCCCCAAATTTAAAAAAGAAAAGAATAGCTGAAACCGGTTTGGCTCAGTGGTAAAGCATTGGTCTGCGGACTGAAAGGTCCCAGGTTCGATTCCGGTCAAGGGCATGTACATTGGTTGTGGGCACATCCCCGGTAGGGGGTGTGCAAGAGGCAGCTTGTCGATATTTCTCTCTCATTGATGTTTCTAGCTCTCTATCACTCTCTCCTCCTCTCTGTGAAAAATCAATAAAATATATTTTAAATAAATAAATAAATAAATAAATAAGAAAAGAATAACTTAAGTACTGTAACTAGAAATCTGGAATATGACCTCTAAAATCAGTAACACTATCTATATATATAAAAGCCTAAGCAACCATCCGAAAGATAGCTATGACATGCAATGACCATCAGGGAGCAGATACCCTTACCAGTAGCTATGACACACACTGACTACCAGGGGGCAGACGCTTAATGCAGGAGCTGCCAAGCTGCAGTGACTTGGCACCTGTGATTCTTGGGTGATGCACCTGGAACCAGAGAGGAAAGAGCCCAATTCCAGGGGAGTGACGGTATGGCAGATGGGATGATATATTCAAAAGGGAGGTGGGGACCTCTTGGGGGATGTTGGAGAGCCAGTTTTGGTCCAATCCCCTCAGGCCAGGCTGAGGAACCTGGTGCAAGAATCTACGCACCAGGCTTCTAGTAAGAGTTTATATTAGAAATCCATTTTGAAATTTATTATAAAAATATCCCACAAACATGCAGGGACAGCCCTGGCATTTCTGAGCTCCATCCTGTTCTTACCTTATGCTGACCCATTCTAGGTCATTTCCTGAGGTTTCTAGTCAATTCTCCTTCCTACACTTTCTAATTATAGTGTTTGTTAGGTTCAACTAAGTTATGTAAACATGAAAACAGAACAGACAATATTCTTGTCTTGACTTAAGGGCCCAGGTAGTTCCCATGTTTGGACTCTTCTATTTTATCCTGTGGCCTCCACAGTCGTCACCTAAATAAAAGAGAGACAGAGGTTTCAAACCAGCTCAGAGGGCCTCCAACCAGAAGAAATAAATCACTTCCACCCACATTTCCTTTTGATGGCACTCAGTCATGGTCCCAGTATACCTATAAAAAGGCTAAGAAATGTCATCTTTTGATGTGCCAAGAGAGAACACACTGTAGTGAAACCCAAAATGGTCTCTGAAGTGTCATCCCCAGGACAGAAGTAAAGCCCCTTCTCTCAAGTGAGCGTCCAATCGTGCCCGCCGGCAGCAGGTGGAGAGAGCTGTGGAGGAAGAAGCCTAGTGATCAGGTCTCCCTTCCTGGCCCTCTGGCGCCCCCCATGGGACTCCCCTGCGTGGATCCCACAGCTCACTCTTGTCTCCTCTTTTGCAGGGCCTTATTCCCTGACCTACCATTCCAGTGGGATCTCCGAGCCCAAGGAGGGCTTCTCCAGTTTTCAGGCAACTGGCTACCTCAACGACCAGGCCTTCTTCCACTACGACAGTAAAAGTGAAAAAGCTGAGCCCCTGGGCCCGTGGAAACAGGTGAAAGGAATGGAGGACTGGGAGGAACTAAGTAAACTTCAGAAGGCCAGGGGGGACTTCTTCCTGAAGAACCTGAGAGACATCATGGGCTACTACAAGGACACAGGTCAGTGGACGATGGGCTGCTGGGGTGGGCGGTCTTAGGTCAAGAAGCAGGCCTGCAATTTTTGAGTGGAAAGGGGTCCGCAGGCTAGAACTACTCCCCATGCCAAAGAAAAAGCAGGGCATTTACAGAGATTTACAGACATTTCTTCATTCCCCTCTCCTACATCACAGCTGCTTTTCCTCCTTCCCCGTCACTCCCCCCCTCCTCACTTCCAGGCCTCAGCTCTCACACCAAGTGCTGTCCGTGTCAGCCCTTATGGGCACATCTGTCCCTTCAGCTCCACACTCCTACCCATCTGAGGTGGATGCCACGTTAGAAGGCTTCAGACTCGCCCCATCCAGGGATGCTGGGTGAGGAGTGAGCTAACCTCGGTCATTCTGGTCAGGCTTCAGGTTCTAGCTCTGCCAGTCACTAACTGTTTCACAGGGAACATGTTCTTAATCATCTGGTCTGAATCTGCCAAAATTGGAGCATTGAGACCTGCCTCCAAGAGATTTTTTTTTTTTTTAATTACCCAGAGCCGAAACCGTTTTTGGCTCAGTGGATAGAGCATCGGCCTGCAGACTGAATGGTCCCAGGTTCGATTCCAATCAGGGACATGTGCCTTGGTTGTGGGCATATTCCCACTAGGGGTGTGCAAGAGGCAGCTGACCAATGTTTCTCACTCATTGATGTTTCTAACACTATATCCCTCTCCCTTCCTCTCTGGGGGAAAAAGCAGTAAAAATATTTTTTTTAAAAAATAAAAAGGTGCTTCATGGGACTAGATTGATCCACAGCCCGTAGCAATCTGAAATTCCCTGATGGGAAGAAAGCATCTCATCTCAGACTGGCCTGAAACACCAGAGCATACTAAGTTTCTCACTCTATGTCTGGCTAATAGCCCATGTGCCAAGATAAAGGGGTTGCATCTTTAGTTTTCAAAACCCTTTCTTCTTCGTTGCAAACTGTGCAGGAGTAAGTTATTAAGACAAAGTTGGTGCCAGGCTGACTGATTTCTGGGGGTTGGGCTCCATGCAGGGAATCACATCATGCAGGAAAAGCTTGGCTGCAGAGTTCGGAATAACAGCTACGATGGGGCCTTCTGGACTGTTGCCTATGACGGGCGGGACTACATCAGGTTTGACACGGAAATCCCGGCCTGGATCCCCCTGCAACCGGAAGCCCTGAACACCAAGGTGAAGTGGGAGACAGAGGGCTCCGTGCACCGGACAAGGGACTACCTGGAAGAAACGTGCCCCCAGAAGCTGCGCAAGTACCTGCAGTACAGCAGGCCCTTCCTGGACCGGCAAGGTACCCCCGCCCCCATGTCCTCTCCCGCACCGAGCTGAGAAAGACCACGGTGATCCCAGGCTGGGACCCCAGGAGAACAGTTCAGGAAAATCCTATAGTCCAGTGTTTCCCAAATTTTTGACATATGTGTACCCCTTCTATAATTTTCGTAATGCTGAGTACCCCTCATACTCATGAGAACGTAGAATTAGGCGCAGCTAAACACGGTGCAGTGCATATCCCCAGAAAACTCCGGTGCAACGCGTACCCCCACCAAATTCTTCTTGTACCCCTGGAGGTACGCGTACCACACTTTGGAAAACACTGCTTTCTCTGTGATATGCCACCTGGCTTGGCTGTGGGGCAAAGGCCGGGGTGTAAGATGTCTGCCCAGGAAGGATGAAGATGAGTGAGTGTGAGCAGGATTGGTGGGCACAAGCTGAGACCTCGGTTTAAGAACGAATCAGAAAGAAGGTCTTATGGGAGGGAAGAGGATAGGGTCACAAAGACAGAGCAGCAGGCAGACTGGGGGAGGCAGGAGCCACAAAGCCCGCTGGGAGGTTTGGGGGCGGGGAGGAGACAAAGCGAAAACATAAAAACACGGGGCATTGGCATTTCCTGCCATCAGAAGTCAATCCACAGTGGGCGGGCAGGGGTGCTGGGAGGCAGGGAAGTAGCCACAGGCATTCCTTTATCCAACAGGGGAGGTTCGTGGAAAGCCTCAGCTTCCCTGATCTTCTGGAAGTTTCCTGGGGAGGCAGGTAGAAAACTGAAAGCTCTGCTCATCCCTGACTCCAGGGGTGGGAGAGACGTGAACAGGGAAATGTCTCCTTCAGACCCTCAACCTCTGTGCTGTCTCTCTCCACAGACCCTCCCTCTGCGTCAATCACCAGCCATGTGGACCCAGGAAACATCAGGACCCTCAAGTGCCTGGCCTCCAACTTCTACCCACAGCCAATCAGTCTGTACTGGACTCAAGCAGACAGTGTGGTGGAGACTGAGTCGTGGGGAGAGGGTCCCATCAGTGAGAATGGCACTTACCAGTCCTGGGTGCTGCTGAAAATCCCCTCTTCGGACAAAGGCCCCTACTCCTGCCACGTGCAGCACAGCAGCCTGGCCCAGCCCCTCACTGTCCCATGGAATGCTGGGCACTGAGCTGATGCACTACCACGTTCCTATCCGAACCCATTATCTATTCGGTGAAATCTAATTACATTAAACAGCTAGCCTATAGGCAAAAATAAATCAGATTATTGTGTTGCTAAAATTTGTAAAGATGTCAGCAGAGATTATTATTCATCTTGTCCCCAAGCACTTGGATCATCTAAAATTCTTGGCATCCAGCAAACAATCCACTTGAAAAGCCAAAATTGAAAAAGCAACTCCCAGCACCTCTGCCCAGCACCCTTATCCCCTGTGTTATCAAAACCCTTATCCACCTGGAGGTTTCTCTAAGTGAAGCATCCATCTTACATGAAAACTGCTGTTTGAAATGTTAACCAAGAGACTTGGAACCAGGCGAGCAGTGGGCAGCAGCCGCTCATCCCAGGCTTACCCCCTGAATCTGTCTCCAAAGCCCCCTTTTTCTCTGACTTCCCAGTAAGCTAACAGTACCCTGCCTTGGCTCAATCCTTTCGCTGTGACTTCTATTTCTCAGTGAGCCAATGCAGCCCCACCTAGGCTCTCTCCTGTTGCTTCTTTTACCTTACGACGGCCTTTCTTTGTTTCATTGTCCTCAACTTTAACAAACGTGCTCTCAAAATCTCCTGGACTTGTATTGTGAAATCTTTCCTGCACAAAGTCCAAGAACCCACATACTGCCGAATCCGGTTTGGCTCAGCGAATAGAGCATCTGCCTGTGGACTGAAGGGTTCCGGGTTCAATTCCAGTCAAGGGCATGTACATTGGTTGCAGGGACATCACCGGTGGGGAGTGTGCAGGAGGCAGCTGGTCAATGTTTCTCTCTCATCGATGTTTCTAGCTCTCTATCCCTCTCCCTTCCTCTCTGTAAAAAATCAATAAAATATATATATTTTTTAAAAAGAACCCACACACTACCTGCCAGCCCAAGGCAGACCAACCAGCTCCTGGGCCAGTCCCCATTCAGGAACAGAATTACACAATGGTTAACAAGATTATGTTCTCTCTTGAGAGTTAACTCCCACTTGGAGAAGTATTACAAGATGTATTAATCTGTATGCACAAGAACAATAAAAAGGCTGGCTTAAAAACTGTAACTAAGAAATGTATAGGGCTGGAGCATGACTACCTACCATTCCCACCTAGGAATTTAAGACCAGCTCCCCCTGTGAGGCTACTTTCTACAGAACTCCTTTTTTTTCCTCACAGGTTTACACCCAAAACAGAGCAGACCTCTCACGTGACTTTGTATTACCTTAACACCCCATGACAATTTGTTCCTTCCTGTGGGACAAGACCTTCCTACATCTTTCTGAAGCAGAAGTTTTAGGGGGATATAGGCAGGCTTGGGGATTTTTTAGAATTGTGTCCATGGGAAAAACACTGGGCTGAAGACTGCGAGAAGGTACATTTCCATAACACAAGGAAGCCAGGTGCAGTTATATCTCCATAAGACAAGGAAGTAGCAATAGGGTTTGTCCCTTAAGCCCAGGACTTACTACCACCTACAGGGCCCCCATGGGCGAAGGAACTCACAGCTTAGTTACCAGACTAAGGCAGTGGTCGGCAAACCTTGGCTCAAGAGCCATATATGGCTCTTTGGCCCCTTGAGTGTTCTAATGCCACTTCTTCAAAATAGACTCGTCCAGGACTAAAACCGACTTCTGCGCATTGGCCACAAAGTTTCAATCACGCTGTACCTGGTATTTTGTGGAAGAGCCACACTCAAGAGGCCAAAGAGCAGCATGTGGCTCGCGAGCCGCGGTTTGCCGATCACTGGTCTAAGGAAATAGTGACCAATCAGAAGGGATATCAAAGCACCAGGATCTGCAGCCTTTATAAGCCATTGGGAAAAGGAACTCAGAGGGGCCCTTTCCCCTCCCTACTTGGGAGTCCGTTCTGTGGGACTCTTTCCTTCTCCCCACATGGGAGTCTGTATTTGTTCTTCGATAAATCCCCACCTTTGCTATATTCCACTTTCTGTCCGTGGATTCATTCTTCGATTCTGGCGGACAAAGAATCCGGGTTCCAGTCCAAAAATTCAGTATGATTTCCATCCTAACCCTCACATTCCACATTATTCCAGAGTCCCCTCTAAGCATAGCTACTTAAGGAAGTAATTCCCTGACAGAATTCTGAGCTGATTCTCTTTTAAATCCATGTGAAATTCAAATTCCCCTTCTCTGGGGCAAAATAATGTCCTTTCCGAACACCAGGAAGACTTCAAGGAACAAAATACAAATACTGTAGAGGGAACAGTGCAGTGATAAAGTAAACATTATGGCACTTGGGAGAAAAATTGTTTTAAAAACACATGACAGAATAAAAATGTCAGATCAATAAGGAAACCCAAAGTCCACATGAACATGCCAAGGCCAAGGCAGAGTGGAATGTGGGATCCACCCCACCTGTAAACAGGAGTGATGGGGCCTGAGTGGAAGAAAGCCAGGACTCCTCAAAAAAAAACAAGTCACGGCCAGGTGTCAGGGGAAAGGAGAGGCAGAGAAGTACTCACACACCCAGAGAAGCTTCCTGGAGGGATTCAGGTTTCCATGTGAGTGAAAGGCTCTAAGAGCTTGGCAAGCCGTAGGAAAATTGTTCCTGACCAGGAGGGTGTGAGGCCGATGAGAAAAGATCTCAGGTGACCAGAGGTGGGGGCTCGGCTACAGGCATAAACTTCCAACACCTCCTGCCCATCCAACAAAGATCGCCAACAGCTTCCTCTGCTCTTAGGCAGGACTAACTTCAAGTGAAAATTCAGAATGCCCCATCCCAGGACGGCCTTCTTGCCACAAACTATCTCCTTCTTAAAATAATAATAATAATAATAATAATAATAATAATAATAATAAACTGTATGTCTATGTGTGTGTTTTTTAATTGATTTTTAGAGAGATATTGTAGGAAGGGAGAAAGAGAGGTAGAAACGATGTTCAGCTACCGCCTACACGGCCCCCACGGGTGATGGAGCTCACAACTCAGGCATGTGTTACTGATGGGGAATCGAATCCGTGACCTCTTGGTGCATGGGTCAATGCTCAGCCACTGAGCCACACCAGCCAGGCAAACTATCTCCCTCTTACCAATTCCTCGCTCACTTCAGGATAGCATGTGACTCTGTATCAGGGTCCCCTCTGCTAACAGCCATCAGCCCCCATGGGTGCATGGAAAAAACCTGTGTTTTCATATAAATGACTTCCTCGTGATTGGATGTTTTATATCATGCATGAAAAGTATATTGAAAGAAAGAAGTAGACCTAACCGGTTTGGCTCAGTGGATAGAGTGTCGGCCTGCTGACTCAAGGGTCCCAGGTTTGATTCCGGTCAAGGGCATGTACCTTGGTTGACTGCAGGCACATCCCCAGTGGGGAGTGTGCAGGAGGCAGCTGATTGATGTTTCTCTCTCATCGATGTTTCTAACACTCTATCCCTCTCCCTTTCTCTCTGTAAAAAATCAATAAAATATATATTTTTTTAAAAGAAAGAAGTAAATGAATAAATAATTTCAGAAAACTTAGAAAAAATTAAAATTTCTCTTGGCAAAAGAATAGATGTCACCAAAGGCTAAAAACTGCTGAGCTAGTTAGATGAGAGATACAAAGACTACAGGCTGTTGAGGAAAAGAAACGATAGTGAAATGTGACTCATTCATTGGGAGACATTTTCTGTTCATTGGATGAAGAAGGCTCCAGAATTTCACTTCAGTATGCCTTCTGAATACATATCCCCAGACCTGACCAGCCCCTCAATCTTTTTCCTGAACTCTATTTCCACTAAATTGACCTCAATGACTCTCAGGTAGGTTTGGTGGTGTCTCTCTGCTTTTCAGAATGTGCTTTCAATCAATCATTTCTGCTTTTGAGCTTGTCTTTATCTTCAATTCTTCCAGCATTTACATCTTCAACCATCCCAGATTTAGTCCTTGAATTTGCAAGTCCTTCACATGGTTGTATGGTACTAGCCTATTGGGAAGTGAAATTCTACCTTCAATAACCATTACGTTTTGTTGACAGCAAGACATAACTACATCAGCTGTTTGACCCTTCATACAGTGTCAAGGCCTATAAGAACGGCCCCAACATATCTGTATATTCACTGCTCCTAGTCCCAATATGGCCCTTTATCTAGCCTGGTGCCCATTTCCCTGAGCAACTATTGCTTAAAAACAATCCTTTCCCAATTTTGGTAGCAGTCACATCATCATTGTTGCTAAAATGGATTCCTATTCTGGCTTTAGGCTTTTGGGATTAACTTATGAAAATACATTTATTTACTGCTTCCTTCTAGAATCAGTGGAGAGATTGGAAAACCCAGACTCAGGATTAAGCAGGAAAAGAAAAGGCAAATCACTCCCTGGAAGCAGTCCTATGATCACATGCTGCTGCCAACAGAAGCAACCGATGCCACAGTGCGGAACAGCGACAAGGTCCCAGCCCCGGATCACTGGCTCCCTCTCCATTGGCAGACCATCTGTACTCTCCCTGGACACAACATCCGCCCGGGCTGCCCTGACATCCTGTTTCCTCACTGTCAGGAGAGGAGCCCATGCTGGCACTCTCACTGGCCTGTGCATTCACTTCACCTGGCCTGGGCCCAAACCCCAGCCAGTCCCAAAAGGACAGACACCTGGCTCCCAAAAGGACACTTTGCTCTAGCTCCAAGCGGTCTCTCCAAGCTCCTGGAACTGAGGAGCCTTCAGGCCAGGAGCCAGGAGCACAGTGGTGCCCATCCTGCTGTCCCCACTGCTCCTTCTGGGTCCCGAAGGCCCCTGGACACCCAAGCCACTGAGTGTGGAAGCGAGGGCTGGACATGGAGGAGAAGGGAGGGGACATGGTGATGAGGGGGACTGATGGGAGGAGGGCCCCTGAGGAAGCTGGAATCCCCAGGGCACAGTAGGAATGGCTGTTCAAGGCTCTCAACTAACTCAGCTCACACTCTTCTAGAAGCATTGAGGGAGCCTCTCGACTCAACGTGGAATCAGACCTCAAAGAATCATAATTTTAAAAATCTGCCGAAACCGGTTTGGCTCAGTGGATAGAGCATCGGCCTGTGGACTGAAAGGTCCCAGGTTCAATTCCAGTCAAAGGCATATACGTTGGTTGCAGGCACATCTCTGGTAGGGGGTGTGCAGGAGGCAACTGATCGATGTTTCTAGCTTTTTTTTTTTTTTTTTCTTTAAAATATTTTATTGATTTTTTACAGAGAGGAAAGGAGAGAGATAGAGAGCCAGAAATGTCAATGAGAGAGAAACATTGACCAGCTGCCTCCTGCACATCCTCAACAGGGATGTGCCCGCAACCAAGGTACATGCTCTTGACCGGAATCGAACCCAGGACCTTTCAGTCCGAAGACCGACGCTCTACCACTGAGCCAAACCAGCTTCGGCTGCTTTTTTATTTTGATACTTCAATTTAATTTCAAAATCAAATCTCAAAAAAGAGCTTCTTTAGTTTGTGACAAATCCACAGTCCCTTCCTTTGGGAGAAAAATAATGTCTTGGCTTAACATCTGGAGGACTGCTGGAGCAAAATTTAAATAGTCAAGAGACAACAATGTAGCGATCAATATTAACCAGTAAATCACATGACACAAGAAAAATCTCAGATCGATGAGAAAACCCGGAGTCCATATGAAAGTCCAGGGCAAACACATATTAGGATGTGAGATCCCACCGAGCCTCTCACAGGAGTGATGGGGCCCAATTGGACAAGAGGGAAGAAACTTCAGAAATCCTGCGTCCTGGCCAGATGTGGGAGAAAGGAGAGGACACAGAGGCTCTCCCACACGCAGAACAATGACTTGAGAGATTCAGATTTCAGAGGAGTGAAAGGCTCAGAGAGCTTAAGAAGAGGTGGAGAGTTGCTGACCTGGAGGATATGAGGCAGCGGAGAGGTGATGGTCACAAAGCTTATAGTCAGGGGAAGGACCTCAATTTAGGATCGGGCCATAAGCATTGACTGGTCACGTGAGGGTGGATGCAGGGGTCCAGAGGACCAAATGTGCATTCATACACAATCAGCTTTTGCCCACCCAACTAAAATCACCAACAGATTCCTCCGCCCACAGAACCAACTGCAACTGCAATTTCAGGATGCCCCGCTCAGCAGAAACTTGGTTGCCACAAGTTATCTCCTTATTTTATATATAATTTTACTTATTTCAGAGAGGAAGAAAGAGGGAAAGAGAGTTAGAAATGTCAATGATGGGAGAGAATCATGGATCAGCTGCCTCCTGTACACCCCTTACTGGAGACCCAGTAGGTGGCTTGAGTGGGAATCAAACAGTGACCTCCTGTTTCATAGGTCAATGCTCAACTACTGGGCCATACCAGCTGGACTAGTCATCTCCTTCTTAACAATTCCACAGTGACTTTAAAATACAATAGCATGCTGCTCTGTTTGGTGAGGTGGAGAGGCTGCCAACAGTCTGTTAGCCTGCAGGGGTGCATGAAAAGACTTGCATTTCCATATAACTGGCTTCCTCTGTGTCCTACATGTTTTGATTTATGCATTTAAAATTATCTTGAAATCAAGTAAATGAATAAACAATTCTTTAAAAAAATTTTTAATAAAATGTATCTTGAGAAGAGAGTAGACGTACAAAAACCTAAAAACTGCTGCCTAAAGGGGCGAGGTATGCAGAGAAGGTGTGAGGGAAAAAGACACAATAGTGAAATGTTCCCCAGACATTGATTGGATGCTCATTGAATGAGGGCCGTACAGATTCTACCTCCAACTTCCTTTTTCATTTTATCATCCCACCGTTGCTCCTTCTCAATCATCTACCTCAACTCTGGTTCCACTAAATTGTCCTCAGGAGCCAAAACCGGTTTGGCTCAGTGGTAAAGCGTCAGTTTGCAGACTGAAAGGTCCTAGGTTCAATTCCTGTCAAGGGCATGTGCAATGGTTGCGGGCACATCCCCAGTAGGGGGTGTGCAAGAGGCAGCTGGTCGATGTTTTTCTCTCATTGACATTTCTAGCTCTCTATCTCTCTCCCTTTCTCCTCTCTGTAAAATATCAATAAAATATATATTAAATTGTCCTCAGGAACCCTCAGGTGGCTCTGATATCATCCCTTTTTCATCTTAGCGCATTTATCCATTCTCCTATGCTTGTAAAGTGTTTACTGATTGCCTCATTTCTGCCAGGCATTGGGTTAAGTACAAGGGACAGAAAAATGAAGATGACAAACATCGTCACTGTCATAAAATTTGCCCCCTGCTGCCAACCGAGATTCTATCCCTGTTGGGTATTTCCCTCAACAACAAGGTCTCTCAGGAAGCCTTTCCCAATGTCATCCTACACTTGACTTCCTCCTCTGAGGAAGCTCTTCTTGTCACCCATTCTTAGTTGCAATTGTATAAGACTTGCAGGAATGTCTTGGTCACACGTGGCTATTAGACTTTTTAGGCTTTTATAATTAGTTATGAAAACTTATTTTTGGTTCTTAGGTCTAAAATTTAAAACTAAATTTAGACTCCAAATCATTAGCAACTAATGTTTTTGTCTGTTCATTCTCAAAACTAGAAAAGCCATAAGATTCTTTCTGCATGGCGAAACCAGTTTGGCTCAGCGGTAGAGCATCGGTCTGTGGAATGAAAGGTCCCAGGTTCGATTCCGGTCAAGGTCATGTACATTGGTTGTGGGCACATCCCTGGTAGTGGGTGTGCAAGAGGCAGCTGGTCGATGTTTCTCTCTCATCGACCTTTCTAGTTCTCTATCTCTCTCCCTTCCTCTCTGTAAAAAATCAATAAAAAAAATTTTTTTTAAGATTCTTTCTGCACTATCATAGAAATCACCTGACTTTCAGGCTGTGCTTTGAGTTGATACTTTCTGCTATTGAGTTGATTTTCTTTTTCTTTAAGCTTCCCAGCCCTATGGACTCGATCCTCACAGACTTGGTCCTTGGATTTCTCAAGTCCTTCACACTGTCCTAGGGTAGCAGCCTCTTGGGACCTAAACCTTGACTTCACGGAACATTTTTTTCCAGTTGACCAAAAAAGATGAGTAAGTGAGCTGTTTGACCCTCCACTACTTGTCAGGTCTTACAAAAACAAGCCCAAGATACCTGGATTTTCACTGGCTTCAGCCTCAATATGGCCCTTGGTTCCCCTTCCTCCATTTCCCTGAGAGACTGTTACTTAAAAATAATCCTTTTCCAATTTTGTTAACAGTCACCTCATTAGTTGCTGAAACAGATTCCTGTTCTGACTTTAAGAAGAAAATAAATTTATTTGTTGATTCATTCTGGAGCCAGTGGAGAGACTGGAAAACCCAGATCAGATTTAGGCAGGAAGAGAATAGGCAAATCCTACCATCGAATTAGTACTGCAAACACCTGCTGTGTCCCAGGGCTACAGATGCCACAGTGCGTACCCATGACAAAGCCCCAGTCCCAGATCACCTACCTCAGATCCCCATTAGCAGACCATCTGTAGACACTGAGGAAACATCCGCCAGCCCGCCTGTGCATCCTGCTTCCTCCCAGTCAGCTGAGGAGCCAGCCTGGCACTCTCATTGGCCTGAGCATTTACCTCACCTGGGCAGGGCCCAAAGCCAAGCTGTTCCCAGCACTATATCTAGCTGTCTCTCTGAGGAGTCTGCACCAGGACCTGGGACGTTCAGGGCCTTCCACTCAGACACGATGAGCACGATGGTACCCTTCCTGCTGTCGCTCCTGCTTGTTGTGGGTCCTGCAGTCTCCCAGGACACTCAAAACAGTGAGTTGGGAACCAAGGGCTGGGTATGGAGAAGAATGCAGGGGAGGGAAAGAGCCAGATAGATGGGAGAGGGCCCCAGCTGAAGCCGGGGTTCCCAGTGTACAGTGGGAATGGGTGTTTGAGGCTCACATACTTCCAGAAGCATTTAGGGAGCTTCTGGACTCATGCTAAGTAAGGCCTTAAATAATTAGAATCTAAATTCTTAGTAGGAAAATCAGCAAAACTGAGACCCATATGCCCTGGCCAGCTAGTTCCATTGTTAGAGCCTCATCCTGATACACCAAGGTTGCAGGTTCAATTCCCAGTCAGGGCACATACAAGAATCAACCAATGAATGCATAAATAAGTGTGAAAACAAATATTTCTCTCCTTCTCTCTTTCTCCCTGCCCCCCCAAATTCAAAAAGCTAAAACCCAGACAAGTGGAATTACCTGTCCTGGGTCAGACAGCCAGGGCAGAGCAGGGGCTACACAAGTGCAACTTTTTGTTCCTCCTGCCTTCCAACAGCTGGATATATCTGTCTGACTGTCAGGGAAAAAGACGGCAACTCTAAAGAGCACTTGTAAAGGCATAGTAACTGCAGGATACTTCTAGAAAGAAGCCCATCCCTTCCCCCCACAGTTAGACACTCAGACAGTGGGCCTGGAAGGCGAGTGAGGGAAAGAAGTCAGCTGGAGGTTGGGCAGATAGAGTCAGAATATATATATATATATATAATTGTTTTATTGATTTCAGAGAGGAAGGGAGAGGGAGAGAGATATAGAAACATGAATGATGAGAGAGAGTCATTGATCGGCTGCCTCCTGCATGCCCCTTATCGGAGATCGAACCTGCAACCCTGGCATGTGGCCTGACCAGGAATCAAACCGTCACCTCTTGGTTCGTAGATCGATGCTCAACTATTGAGCCATGCCGGCTAGGCCCAGAGTCAATTTTAAGACAGAGTAATGGGACTTTCTTTGGCATAGAAAACTGCAGGGTGAAGAAAAGTAAGCTAAATTGTGTAAGTTTAGAATTCATTACATTTACAAACTGTCAGAATATGTGTTTTATAACTATTGATTATATTTACATTATTAATAACATCCTACACCAAAATCTAGTGTAGCTTCAGCGTTCTCCGGAGAAACAGAATGAACGCCATGTATATGCACAAAAAGAGATTTGTTTGAAGGACACGGCTCACACCATGGTGGGGGCTGAGAAATCCAAAATCCGCAGGGCTGGTCAGCACCCTGGAGAGCCAGAGAAGAGAGGCTGTTGCAGTCTTGGGTCCAATCTGGAGGCAGAGTGCCTTCTTTCTCTGGAGACCTCAGTCTCTTCCCTTGTGGCCTTCAATGATCAGAGGAGGCCCGCCCACATTGTACAATAGAGTGTAATCTGCTTTACTCAACATCAACTGCGTACAATGGTAATCACATTTAGAAATTAATTAGTGATAAAAACTTCAGTCCTGGAACAAAGAATCTGTCATAAGGCCTTCAACATTAGTAACATCCATGAGAGTATTAGTAATTCATGAATTCTATCATGAATTCATTATCGAATTAGTTATGAAAATGCCCGGCTCCCCCTCCCAGTCTCTGCCTCATACCAAAATGCAGGGAGAGCCCTGGCAATTCGGAGCTCCATCCTGCTCTTACCTTATGCTGATCCATTCTAGGCCATTTTCTGAGGTTTCTAGTCAATTCTCCTTCCTACAGGTTCTCACTGTATGTGTCTCTCAGGTTCAACAAGGCGATGCTCCAATAACAAAGACAGTTTTTATGGCTTACCCCAACAAATGTTTATTTCTTGCTCATTGAAAAAAAAAAGAAGAATACGGATAAGGCAACTTTCCTGTCCTCCCTGGAATGACACGAGGATCCAAGCCGTTTGCATCTTAGGTCTCTTCCGTTTCAACCTGTGGCCTCCACCATCGTCACCTAAATAGAAGAGAGACGGAGGGTTCTACTCAGATTGCAGGGCCTCCGGCCAGAAGAAAGAAATCACTTCCCTCACATTCTCTTTTGACGGAAGTCAGGCATGGTCCCAACAGACGTACAGGAAAGCTGAAAAGTATGTCGAACAGTGCAGTAAAAACACAAACTGGCCTCTGAGGTATTACTCCCCAGAACAGAAGTAGAGCCTCTTCTCTCCAGGAGCTGACAGCAGGTGGAGAGAGCTAGGGAGGAAGAAGCTCGGTGGCCTGGTCTCCCTCCCGGGTGCTCTGAGGTCCCACATTAAGACTCCCCGTGACAGTCCCCACATCTCAATGTTTTCTTTTCTTTTTTTCTTCTCCCCCCCCCCCCCAGATGCTTACTCTCTGAGCTTCCACTATACCGGAGTGTCCAGGCCCGAGGCAGGCATGCCTAGTTTTCAGGCCACTGGCTTCCTCAATGACCAGGCCTTCCTCCACTACGACAGTAAAAGCAAAACGGCGGAGCCCCTGGGCCCATGGAAACAGGTGGACGGAATGGTGAACTGGGAGGAAGAAAGTCAATTGCAGCAGGACAGGCAGGACATCTTTATGCAGACCCTGAGAGATGTCATGGGCTATCACAGGGACAGAGGTCAGTGGACTGTGGGCTGCTGGGGGGAGGGTCTTGGCAGCAGAGGCAGCCTGCCCTGGGAGAGGAAAGGGGTCTGCGGGGTGGAAATACTTATATCTAACACGGGGTGTGAGAGAACAGGTATACATAGACAGGCATTTCTGCACCTCCTCCCCCACGTCAGAGCTGCTTTTCTTCTTCCCCATTGCTTCCCCCATCCTCACTTTTAGGCCTCCACTCTCACAGGAAGTGAAGTCAGTCTCAGCCCTTATCTAGGCACATCTGACATCTCAGTTCCGCACCCCCCACATCTGAGGTGGATCCCACTTTAGAGGGTGCCAGGCTCACCCCCACCCAGGGATGTTGAGTGGGAAGTGAGCAAACCTCAGGTCATTTGGGCTCCGGTGCGGGCTCTGGCAATCACTAGCTGTTGGACAGTGAACACATACTTAATTATCTGGTCTGAATCTGCAATAATTGCATCATTGAGCTCTGCCTCCAAGAAACTTGCTTTATTAGGTAAATAAACAGATTATGTAGTCTCTCCTTTTCCATGAAAGCTAGAACGGACTGTCTTGACCTCCCCTAGAGCCATCACCTAGGAGAGCCAATAATAATTGCTAAGCCCTAGCTGGTTTGCCTCAGTAAATAGAGTGTCGGCCTTCAGACTGAAGGGTCCCGGGTTCAACTCCAGTCAAGGTAACATGCCCAGGGTTGTGGGCTCAGTCCCCAGTTGGGGGCATGCAGGAGGAAGCCAATCAGTGATTCTCATCATTGATGTTTCTATCTCTCTCTCCCTCTCCCTTCCTTTCTGAAATAAAGTTATTTTTAAAATAATAATACTAATAATTGCTAAAATGAAATGAAGCAGTTGTGTCTCCCTTAGCTACAAATGCCATTTTCCAAGAGTTGTTGCTAATTGGGAAGGAAGCTGGGCATTAGAGATTGGTTTGAAGATATCAAAAATGCAAAGAGAGAGAAGAGCTGATAAAATTATGCTGACCCAACTGGAGACATCAACTTCCTACACAACTGGAAGAAAAGGAGAGACTACATAATCTGTTTTAAACTGCAAATAATTTCTATTTAACCTGTCGATGCTCTTCTGTGTGCTGGTGTCTGGTTCCTAAGACCTCACAGTATATTCAAATTTTATTTGAAGAGGTGCTGTACGGGTCTAGATCTGTCCACAGTCTGCAGCAATCTGAAATTCCCTGATTAGGAAGAATGTAAAACACCAAAGCATACTAAGTTTTCCTCTCTCTGCCTGCTCTATGTCTGGTTAATAAGCCATTTGTTGAGATAAAAGGGGTTGCATGTTTAGATTTCAAAACCCTTCCTCCCTATTGAGTTGCAAACTATGTAGGAGTGAGAGTTATTGAGACAGTGTTTATGCCAAGCTGACTGACTTCTGGGGGGCGGGTTCGGCTTACATGCAGGAAATCACACCTTTAAGGGGACGTTCGGCTGTGAGATTCGGAATGACAGCTACTGCAGGTCATTCTGGAAGTATGCCTATGACGGAGAGGACTACATCGAGTTCAACACAGAAATCCCGGCCTGGATCCCCCTGCAACCAAAAGCTCTGAACACCAAGGTGAAGTGGGAGACAGAGGGCTCCGTGCAAGAGTCCAAGAAATATCTGGAAATGGAGTGCCCTCATCTACTACGCAGCTACCTGCAGTTCAGCAGGCCCTTCCTGGACCGGCAAGGTACCCCCGCCCCCATGTCCTCCTCATCGCACTGAGCTGAGAAGGACCGGCTTCAGGCTGGGACCTCAGGGGAACAGCCCAGGCAAATCCTGCAGTCATTTCTCTCTGCGACATGCCTCCTGGCTTGGCTGTGGGGTGTAAGATGTCTGCCCAGGAAGGATGAAGATGAGTGAGTGTGAGCAGGATTGGTGGGCACAAGCTGAGACCTCGGTTTAAGAACGAATCAGAAAGAAGTTCTTATGGGAGGGAAGAGGATAGGGTCACAAAGACAGAGCAGCAGGCAGACTGGGGGAGGCAGGAGCCACAAAGCCCGCTGGGAGGTTTGGGGGCGGGGAGGAGACAAAGCAAAAACATAAAAACACGGGGCATTGGCATTTCCTGCCATCAGAAGTCAATCCACAGTGGGCGGGCAGGGGTGCTGGGAGGCAGGGGAGTAGCCACAGGCATTCCTTTATCCAACAGGGGAGGTTCGTGGAAAGCCTCAGCTTCCCTGATCTTCTGGAAGTTTCCTGGGGAGGCAGGTAGAAAACTGAGAGCTCTGCTCATCCCTGACTCCAGGGGTGGGAGAGACGTGAACAGGGAAATGTCTCCTTCAGACCCTCAACCTCTGTGCTGTCTCTCTCCACAGACCCTCCCTCTGCGTCAATCACCAGCCACGTGACACTAGGACTTTCCAGGACCCTCAAGTGCGTGGCCTCCAACTTCTACCCACAGCCGATCAATCTGTACTGGACTCAGGGAGCCAATGTGGTGGAGACTAAGTTGTGGGGAGACGATCCCATCAGTGAGAATGGCACTTACCAGTCCTGGGAGCTGCTGAGAACCTTCTCCTTGGACAAAGGCCCCTACTCCTGCCACGTGCAGCACAGCAGCCTGGCCCAGCCCCTTATTGTCACATGGGATGGGACTCAGTGACCAGGGGGCTAACAGCACCGCGGGGTCCGGAGACCAGTCGGCACCCTTTCATGGGGACATGAGGGAGATGAGCTCTGGAATGAGGCCCAAGAGGAGCGGCGAAGGGGACAGAGAGGTGGTGGGTTGGGAGACACGAGACCTGAGTGCTGGGCACTGAGCTGACTTGCTGCTACCTTCCTCTCAGAACCCATTATCTGTTCCGTGAAGTCTAATCACACTAATCAACTAGCCTATACACATGATAACCCAGATTATTAAACTGCTCAATGCTGTGGAAATGGAAGCAGAGAGTGTTATTCATCCTGCCCCCAAACGTGTGAATCCTCTGAAACTCTTCGTGTTTGCAAGAAGCAGTGTTTCCTGGCCCTGTTGGCCTGGGCCCCCGCTGTAGCAGGGCATGACCACCAGGAGCTTCCGGGGGAAGAGGAGCTCTGGGCGTTGTTCAGGGGCCACTAGTGCTGTCCCCTCTGCGTGGAAGGCCATCGAGCTCTGCAAACTCTTTCATACACAACCCGCAGCCTTGTCTGTACCGGGTTCCCCAGCACTTCCTTCCCCGCGGTGACTCCGCCCTCCACTCCCGCTACTCCACCTACCCCACGTCAGGTGGGCCTTGGGGGGCACACACACAACTACAGGTTGTTCAAGAGCCTTTGTCCCTCCAGAATGTGCTCCCAGGGAAGCAAAAATCAGCCTTCAAATCAGCTCCTGGAGTCCTTCAAATTCATTTCGTTGTGCTTTGTTATTTTTTAACTGAGTCCGTTCGTGATTTTTTATTTTATTTTATTTTATTTTATTTTATTTTATTTTATTTTATTTATTTATTTTTAGCTCAGTCACCTACCAGCATGCACAGGTTTAAGTAAAACAAACAGGGCAGAACTCTCACCTGTGACCCTTTTATTAAGCCTCGGTGCCACCAATTGCCTTAACAATCCCTCAGTCTCTTAGGACCACCTTGACTCTCTCTGGAGGATTCTCCTGGGGATAGTTTGTCAGCTAGACTGGAGAGATAAGTATTCTGAATTAAGCAGGGGACACCAACTGGATATAGGACTTAAAAACATTCTTTGGTGCCCTAACCGGTTTGGCTCAGTGGGTAGAGCGTCGGCCTGCGGACTGGTCCTGGGTTCTAGGTTTGATTCCAGTAAAGGGCACCCACCTCAGTTGTAGGCTCTTCTCCCTCCTGGGCCCCCAAAAGACGTTCTGAGTTAGTTTGGTTACCGGTCAAGCAAGTGGCTCTGGAATAAGATTTAATGGCTTTACCTGGGTGCTCTGCCATTTTTAACTCTGTGATCTCTCTACCTCAGTCTTCTTGTCTGTTAAACAGAAATAATGTAGCACTTACCCCGGATGAAGTGAGGGAGCACAGCAACACTCTTTCGTGGCTGGTAATAAGTATTAAATAATTATTAGATACCAGGAGCCCAGTGCACAAATCCATGCACCTTGAAAGGAACTGTGGGCCCCGAGGCTGCAGAGGGAACAGGGACAGGTCTCAGTCCATACTCCACTCCCCCGCCGGCTCCCTCCCGCCACAGCCCCCAGTCCCCTGTCCGCCAGCTGCCCCACTCCCGACACTGCCCCCACACACTGACAGCCCCGGCCCCAATAGCACCGCTGATGGTGCAGACCTACTGGGGCGGACGCCAGCAGTGGGTGCAAATGGGTCCAGTACCATCAGCATGTGTGAGCGGTAGGCTGCTGCCCTGATTGCCCCTCAGGAGCAGGGGTGGGGGGTCGAGAAGCACTCAGGGGTTATCAGAGCCACAGCTGCCACTCACACCCACTGATGGCACTGGCTGTGGGTGCAAGTGGGGCGGGCACCGGCAGCAGGTGTGAGCACCAGGTGAGACCACAGTGCATGGAGCAAAAAATTTTCAGTAAGCACCAGAGGCTTGCCCCGATGGCAGTAACTGGTGCCTCGCCTTGGTCTGACACCCCTCCACCCCCACCCCGACACTTGCTCCACCATCCCACCACGGCTGATGCCTGCCAAGCTCTGCATATGCCCCCTGGTGGTCAGCACACATCATAGTGGCTGGTTGTTCAGTTGTTCTGCCATTCGGTCTATTTGCATATTAGCCTTTTATTATATAGGATAAGAATCATTATTGTTTGTTGTTGTGATGGAGATAAAGGTACTGTTCAAAACATGAGGACGGAAACATGAGGGTGGCCCCCAAATAGTTTCAATATGCAAACTGTGCTCACCTCCCTAGGCCCCATAACCCTGCCTTTCACATCTACTAGTATCGGTCCATCAGCCATTTACACTGTGTCTGTTCCAGAGGTGCCTCCTAGGCTCACAGCACCTGCTGAAGGAGCAGTCAGCTCCCTTGGACCCTTGAGCACCTGATCCTTTATGTGTAGGATCTTAAAACACATTGTGCAAGCCTGTCTGAGTCAGATTTCCTTCCTAAGCTAACGGGGCGAAGCAGGAGGCTTTCGGGATTCAGGACATTTCTGCCCTGGGTGATAGGCTCAGTTGCAGTTGCCGTTATCGCCACAAGAGGGCACTGTGTGTGCTGCTGTAGTTTTGGAGAGGTTCTTCCAGCGGCTCTAAGAACCCGCAGGGCTGGGCTAGCAGGGAGTCTTGCTGGGAAGGTCGAGGGAGGCGTTTCTCTTTAAGTATATAGGTATAATTTATATACATAATTTATAATTATGACGTTGTATCACTCCATTTCCACATCTGCCCCACCCCACCCCTCCCCTAGCATTTCCACCTGGATGTCCTGCAGACACATCAGTATCACAGTCCAAATTCCTGTATGATTTTCCCCACTCTGCCCCATCCCCAAAGAAAACCAAAATAAACTCTTCCCTTTTCTCCTCCTCTCTCCTCCCCTTCCCCTCCCGGTTTCTCTCTTCCTCCTCCCCCTTACCCCCAGGTTTCTCTGTCTCAGTTAAGGGCATCTTTATCCTCCCAACCACTCAAACTAAGACCATTGTTTCTTGTGCCCTCCCTTTCTTCCCACAAAGCCAAGATGTCACCAAAGCCAAATGATGCTCTGACTTTGGCCCTTTCCCCCACCTCTGCTGCACCTCTCTCACTGTGCCTCAGACAGATGCTTTGGGGTCCTCCCAAGTCTCCCTCCTCTCCAGTCAACCTCAACACTCTGACAGCACAGGCAAGATCACATTGTTTCCCTTTTTAAATGTTAAGGTGGAAACAACCCAAATGACTATTGAAGGGTAAATGGATAAATAAAATATGGTCTATCTATACAAGTAAATATATTTTTCTTTATTGATTAAGGTATTACGTATGTGTCCTTATCGCCCCATGGCTCCCTCCACCCCCCATACAATGAAATATTAATCAGCCTTAAAAAGGAAGGAAATTCTGCCACATGCTCCAACATGGATGAACCTTGAGGACATCATACTAAGAGACAGCAGAACTTAGATTAATCTAAAACTGTCTGTTGGTATCAATAGACCTAGCCTTTATTTTTAGACAAAACTCCCAATACATGGGAAGTGGTGGGACAAAGAGATGAACTTCTAACATACATTAAATATATACTGTGTTTCCCCAAAAATAAAACATCCTCCGAAAATAAGACCTACTTACAGGTTTCCTTCTGAGTGAAATATAAGGCATCCCCCGAAAATAAGGCACACCCCACCCCCCTCCCAGGCTCTGTCTCAGAAACTTTGTGAAACCTAAACTGCAAGAAGTTGTGACTTGGGTAAAGAATTCATGGGAGAAAATCACTGACAGTTGCATTGCAAATGCACTGCGAGCAGGCTACCTTGACAAGAAGTACTCATTTAGCCGAGACCGGTTTGGCTCAATGGATAGAGCATCGGCTTGAGGACTGAAGTGTCCCGGGTTCAATTCCGGTCAAGGGCATGTACCTTGGTTGCGGGCATATCCCCAGTAAGGGGTGTGCAAGAGGCAGCTGATCGATGACTCTCTCTCATCGATGTTTCTAACTCTCTATCTCTCTCCCTTCCTCTCTGTAAAAAAATCAATAAAATATATATATTTTTTTAAAAGAAGTACTCATTTAAAGACAGTGCTATTGCTAAACATGAGAGATTTGGTCCACTGATTCTGAAAGAAATGGAGTCACAAGAAATTCACCAGGAAATTCAGGAATTGGATTGTTATGATGATGTTCCAGAAGATGATGACATGATTGTCATTGAATAAATGAATAAATTCTTGATACTGTAGGATTCACAGTTTGTTTGGTTTCTGTTGACAACTATCATACTACTGTATACAGGTAATAAATTTCCTTTATTTTCATTTAACAATAAATGTGTACTGTATTCTTCTTCATGGAAAAATAAGACATCCCCTGAAAATAAGACCTAGCGCATCTTTAGGAGCAAAAATTAATATAAGACACTGTCTTATTTTCAGGGAAACAGGGTATATAAAAGCCTAAGCAACTGAACAACCAGAATGACTGGAATGACTAGTCAACCAGTTACTATGACATGCACTGACCACCAGGGGGGCAGATGCTCAACGCAGGAGCTGCCCCTTGGTGGTCAGGGTGCTCCCACAGCCCCTCCCCCCAGCCAACCAATCTCCTATAGGCCCAATGGGGGCTGGATGAGAAGGCTCCAATCAGCCCTGAATGCTAGCCAGGCCGAGGAACCCCACCCATGCACAAATTCGTGCACCGGGCCTCTAGTTTATAATAAACTATTAATTAGCTATTTCCTCAGTCTCTAATTTCCATTTTTAACTAAGCAAAATTTCTGTGTTGAATTTAGTCTCTCATGTAGACTTTTCTACTAAAGAAAGGAAAGTTCTCTATCCTTATTCTCTAGCTGGGAATAGCTTTGCCTAAGAAGTAATAAAACTGGCATTCTAGTTTTCAATCAAAGTTTTATGGCATTGGTTACTGAAAATTTATCTGAGGTATTGCAATGTAGGGGCTAAGAGGATAAACTAAGTCTAGAATTAGTCAGCCCAGGGCTGCTCCTGGGTCTTCCAGTGCCAGTATGGCTGCTCCGCAATGACCATCAGCATATAATTTCAACTTTCATTCTGTTTTGTGGTTTATCATATCATATTATTTACATTTGTGTATATTGAATCATCCTTACATCGCAGGCATAAATTCCACTTGATTGTGTTGTATGATCCTTTTAATGTGTTTTTTTAATTTGGTCTGCTAATATTTTGTTGAGAAGTTTTGCATCCACATGGAAAATAACACAATAATTAATTCTGTTTTGAGTATCCACGACTGTATCCAAAATCTACTTTTGCCCCACCTTGTATATTCATCAAGGATATTGGCCC